CTTAGCGTGTTGTTGTTGTGTTCATACCGTTGTGTTTGTCAGTGCCATTGCTCAGGAACTCCACGCTGTATTTGGACCCGTCCACTCCCACCAGGTTCTGTTGCTGCCGTAAAATCTCCTCCAGCAGACGAGAATTATTCTTCCTGACAATCCCTGAAGAACAAAGACAACATCAGTGTGTGGAGGTCCTGCTGAACGTTCTGGTTCTGGATAAAGAACACCTAAAGTCCGACTGAACGTGAATGTGTTCTGGTTTCTTTCCTCTGTGACAGTAAACTGACATCTTTGGACTAAATGAGACACTGGAGGAAACTCTGATCCTCATTTTTAGGGCAGCTTGTTTTTCACTTACTTCTGCACAGCGCCACGTCCAAACCATCAGCAAACAGGATCACAACCAAAAACAAACCTATGAAGGCTGCAAACAGCCAGTAATCTATGACTGGATCATTGCATGAATGAATCCAGCAGCGCTTTGTCTCTGACAGGTCCAATCACAGTGAAGATGAGGATCAGTTTCCTCAAATGTCTGCTTTAGTCCAGAGATGTTCGGTTTACTGTCACAGAGGAACCAGAACCCATCATGAAGTAGAAAAATACTGTTTTTATTATGAATTATTTAAACAGCTGGAGGTCCACTGATTAACTGGATTCATCAGAACCGGAACAAACTGAAGTAACCTCAGCGGTCACGTGACAGAAATAAGCTCCGGACCGGTTCTGCTCACAAGCCCATAAAACGGAACCGGTTCAAATGAATACAAAACGGAACCAAACCGGTTCATTCTGACATAAAACGGAACCAAAATAATGGAAGTGAATCAGCCAAACGGTGAGAAACACGGAAGTCACTCCTGCTCTGATTTAAACTGTCCAAACTTTACAACGGCCGGTACCGGATTACCGTGATTGTCGTAGACGCTGACATAGGAGATGCCCACCGCCATGCACCACACCACCAGGTTAGCGATGTCCGAGTAGCTGGGCTCCTCTTCGGCCACCAGCAGGCCGACGTGCACCGGCAGCTTCTCCAGAGCTTTGCCGTCTGACAGCCACCGCGCGCGGCGACTGTCGCCGCGGTTTCCGGTGACCGGGTTAGCGTTAGCATCGGCGTTGTGGTTCAGCTTCTTCTGCTGGTCCGGGAAACCCGCAAGGGCGACCGGCAGCAGCAGAGCGGCCACTGCCCGCTCCCACAGCCGGCCCTTCCAGCTCCGCAGGCGGACGCGGAGCCAGGAAACGAGCGCCGTGTTGACGTGGACCAGAAGCAGCAGCAGCCGCCACAGCAGGCCGTACAACAGCGCCATAAGTGTCCGTGTTCCCGGGGAGGAGCGTCGTGGAGGTCCGCGGTCACAGTCTGCGCTACAGCCGCTTCTGTCTCCTCTCTGATCGGCCTGATAATCTGCTCAGCGCCGCCCGGAGCTCACCGCCGCCATCTTGCCTTCTCTACCCCCGACCTCTGAACCCGCCAATACACGGAGCTCCCTGATTGGACGACACCTCTGAACGCTCTTACACGGAGCTCTCTGATTGGACAAGACAGTAGTGACGTTTCAACTGCGTCACCGCCTTAAAAGGTGACAGAGAATCACCTGTAAATTATAAAGTTAGTTTAAAATCAAGTTATTTGTCAATACATTACATAGTTATAACGAATGTCAATGACGTTGCTTAAAAATATGACAAAGTTTTATGCAGATATTCTCTTATCAATAAAGTTTGCTTTAAAATATGTTGCATTCCGATTTAACTATTAAAATATAAAATAAACTGCATCCATCATTCTAGAATTGAATGTGTTATTTAAGCTTTTATGGTCCCTGTTCCTTAAATCCAGATCTGGAAGAAGTACCCACATCCTTTCCTGCAGTAAAAGTACCACCAAGCAGAGTAGAAGTCCTCCATGACAGTAGAACAGCTCCTGGTTCAGTCCAGAATGTAGTCTTCAGTCAGAGTTGTGTTTGTTCCTCTGATCTGTGGTCTGATTGTGACCATCAGGGTGGAGCAGCAGGTTACAGGTGGTGCTGCTTTACTTTAGATCCAGTTCATGTTCAGGGACAGCAGAGAAATCTGAGGCTCCAAGCTGTGTCTGAAAACCAAAGTGTTCTCATCACTGCATAAATACTGAGATTTATTGATCCAACAGACGACCGTCTTCACTTTGACTCTCTGAGGTTACATGTTAGTTCGTACAGTTAAAGTGCTGCAATTCGTCCTCTGGATTAAGTCTCTTTTTTATTTTTATTTATCAACTAATGATAATAATTATTGATATGATTGATGTTCATTTTTAAGCATCAGTTACCANGTTAAACCGATGGCACAAATCAACAGAGACAGAACCTGACCGAGGGCCAGAGTCACCAACAGGTCCCTGTAGAGGACAGAGGGACAGAGGGACAGAGGGACATAAGGACAGAGGGACAGAGGGACAGATGGATGGGGGACAGAAAGACAGAAAGACAGAGGGACAGGGGGACAGGGGGACAGGGGGACAGAGAGACAGAGGGACAGGGGGACAGGGGGGCAGAGGGAGAGATGGACAGAGGGACAGAGGGACATAAGGACAGGAGGACAGAGAGACATAAGGACAGAGGGACAGAGGGGCAGAGGGACAGATGGACAGGGGGACAGAGGGACATAAGGACAGGGGGACAGAAAGACAGAGGGACAGGGGACAGATGGACAGAGGGACATAAGGACAGAGGGAGAGATGGACAGGGGGACAGAGGGACATAAGGACAGAGGGACAGATGGACAGAGGGACAGATGGACAGGGGGACATAAGGACAGAGGGACAGATGGACAGAGGGACAGAAGGACAGATGGACAGAAGGACAGAGGGACAGGGGGACAGAGAGACATAAGGACAGGGGGACAGAGGGACATAAGGACAGGGGGACAGGGGGACAGATGGACAGAGGGACAGGGGGACAGAAAGACAGAGGGACAGAGGGACAGGGGGACAGATGGACAGAGGGACATAAGGACAGAGGGAGAGATGGACAGGGGGACAGATGGACAGGGGGACATAAAGACAGAGGGACAGAGGGACAGATGGACAGAAGGACAGAAGGACAGAGGGAGAGATGGACAGAAGGACATAAGGACAGATGGACAGAAGGACAGAAGGACATAAGGACAGATGGACATAAGGACAGAGGGACAGAAAGACAGAGGGACAGATGGACGGGGACAGAGGGACAGATCGACATAGGAGAGAGGGACAGATGGACAGAAGGACAGATGGACAGGGGGACATAAGGACAGATGGACAGAAGGACAGAGGGACAGAGGGACAGAAGGACAGATGGACAGAAGAACATAAGGACATAAGGACAGAGGGACATAAGGACAGAGGGACAGAAAGACAGAAGGACAGATGGACATAAGGACAGAGGGACAGAAGGACAGAAGGACATAAGGACATAAGGACAGAGGGACAGAAGGACAGAAGGACAGATGGACATAAGGACANCAGCGTCAGTTACCATGGAGACCTAGCACCACAGCATCAGTTACCATGGAGACCTAGCACTGCAGCATGTTACCATGGACATGTAGTGAGTTAAAAGAGAACCATCTTTGTGACACTAAAAAACTCTGACTTTAGGCTCAACGTACCTGCTGAGACATTAATCTTGCTTCGTAGTTCAGCCCTCAGGTGAATGAGAAACAGATTGTAAAGGTCTTTGGAGAACCCAGCTCAAGTTCTACACAAGTGCAGACCAGAATGTTGCAAAGAAAATCTAAAACACTTATTTTATTTGACAAAATGCTTTTAATTGAACTTTTCTTGGAGCTTTCAGCTGCATCCAATGACGAGCTTCTGCATCTAAATTTCAGCCAAAATGTGAACCAACTCGTGTATATTCTGTTTGACAATGAAGTGGCTTTTCTATTCATTTCATGGTGTTCATCAGAGGACTGACAGCTGTTTAAAACCAAAGGAGGCAGGAGTAAAGTGACACAGACAGTTTTATTGTTGTACTGCAGAAGGAATCCAGGACAGATTCAGATCTGACATGAAAACGTTCTTTACAGATTCACACTTTATTCTCTGTATTCACATTTACAGTCGACGCGCTCAGGTGATGGAGAGTTCTGGTGTTCCTGCTTTATCAACCATGAAATGACGTGACCGAGGTTCAGTCTTCACTTTCTGTCTCTGAACTTCCTTAAATTGATGTTCCCAGTTGAACATGACACTGAGGGAATGTAGCTCTGTGGACAAACACGTAGCAAAAGATGAACAGAAACCAGAATAAATAGATTCTCAGACATATTTACAGAGTCTCTCCGATGCTGGACGACATGAGGACCGCTTCGTCTCTGGACCAGACGGCGCTGAGCGATGGACTCTGCTGTGCTTCAGTACCACACAATTTGTGTCCTTCATGACATTTTTACTATTTAGACCTTTGCATTGAAAAACGTGTTGGAATGAAGTTCTGTTGTCCTCTAAATGAGAAAGTTAACTTTCAAAGTTTGTCTGTGCTCAGATTTACAGCAGAGTCACCACCACAAGCAGCGCCAGTATTGTTGGTGGACTTTGTTTGCTGTCCTTTTTAATACCATTTGGAGTTGAGTGTTTCATATTTGAATACTACAGCTCCCATCATGCTTTGGGTGATGTGAATGCGTGACCACAGATGATCAGCTGGATGACTGCTGAATGTGCACAGAACATGTATGTACATGTCTCATGTATGTAAAGACTCATCAGCCTGCTTCTGCAGCTTTGTGTTCAGCTTGGAAGAAGTTTCTCAGCGTTAACATTCTGACTCAGCTGATGCAGACTTCAGGTACAAACCTGCCACCGGCTGCACATTTCACTGTTTTCTCCTCATCTACTGTGTTCCTCTTGGTTTAGAGGAATGCAGAGTTTCTCACCTGCAGCAGACTGTTCTGGTCTGACAGTGAGACAAGCAGGTTGATCATCTGCTTCAGGTTATTGAACTTATTTTATTGAATAAAACAGACTTTATCTCAATGACTCAATGCAAAAGTCTAAAACCTAAAAGTTCCCTCAGCAGCCAGAGTTTCTTTCATCTCTGCTTCCCACCAAATGCAAAGCTGCAGGTGACCACATGCCAAACCGGCGTCACACGGCTCTGCTCAGCTGGCTGGACTCTGCCTCAGCCGGACTCAGTTCACACAGGTAGAAGAGCGTCTCCTCGCTGGCCTCGGCCTCCGTCAGAGGCTCCAGGCGGATCAGGGAGCTGCTAGGAGGCTGCTTCGCCTCCAGGCTGACGTCCAGCAGCTCCGAGGGCGGTTCGGTCTCCACAGAGGTAGCAGAGGGTTGGAGGTGGGAGCTGGAGGAGCTGCTGCCCAGATCCAGGTCTGAAGGAGGGGTGCAACCATCCAGGAAGGCCAGCAGGGGGCAGGAGGTGTACTGGATGAGCTGCTTATCTGAACACACAAGAACACCGTTAGTGTGGCGTCATTAAACCTGAGACCAGATCAAACCCAGGTTTCCCAGTGATCAGGCTGAAGTTATCTTGGTTCAGCTTCATGAACACATGGTCTCTATTAACACTACTCTGCTATATTTATCATGACTGATGATACAGAGCTTCAGTTCAATTCAGTTTTATTTGTATGGTGCAAATTCACAGCATATGTCATCTCACACCCCTGAACACGGTCCGGTCAGAGCGCTTCGACTGCTGTCTGCAGCACATAAACTCCTGGAAACAGTCAGTTCTACTCTGAAGGTAAATATTCCTGCTCCATACAGTCATGGAAACAACTATTAGACCACCTTATGTTCTTCCATTTCTTGTTCATTGTAATGTCTGGTACCACTAAAGGTCCATTTGTTTGGACAACTATAAAACCAGCTGATCAGAGTTTAATTCAGAGCTGGTACCAGACATGTTCCAGGGTTTCTTGGTTCTAAGTTCTTCCATCAGTAGCTATGGCATTGTGCTGCCAGAACCAGAGCTGTTAGACGGTCCATGGTTCCTGTTCTGTCTGTTTCAGTCACATGATGCACAGGAGTTAGTACCTGATGGCAGAACCATAGT